GTGTGTCAGCATATTTCTTCCTTGATACTTAAGAGAAAAGAGAGAGGAGGGGGGGGGGCAGAGAGAGAGAGAGAAAAAATTTTTAGTATTTATGACTATAATTACATATTATCATAATTATGATTATTATTGATAAATTAGAGCCCTATATCGGTCGAAGCTAGATCTTAAATGCTTAAATAATTCAATCTTGAATCACTAAATATGATATATATGTATTTGACATATATACCACATTTGTAGTCTAACGAACTACGCGCCGAAATATTTCCGGACTAAACACAATTAAACCACTGTAGTAACTACAGCTGTTTACTACAGTGGTTTAATTGTGTTTAGTCCGGAAATATTTCGGCGCGTAGTTCGTTAGACTACAAATGTAGTATATATGTCAAATACATATATATCATATTTAGTGATTCACAAGATTGAATTATTTAAGCATTTAAGATCTATCTTCGACCGATATAGGGCTTTAATTTATCGATTGTGTTTCTCACATAAATCAAAATGAGATTATGATTATTATTGTTATTATATTACTAATAATAATTATATGTACACAGTTCTATCAACAAATATACATATATAGCTGACAACCAAAAATTATATAATTATAGTTATTATTACCATATAAACGGTTACAATTATTATAATTTTACTATACTTTAAAGCCATTTTTTGGACCAATCATATTTATATGGTTATCCTAAAAATAATTTACAGTTAAATTACAGTAATTACAACTATTTATACAGTAATAATAATTATAATTACAGCAATTTCGATTGTAAACTATATATGTACATTTATCGATAGAATTAAATGTATAGTTATTATTACTAACATTACAACAAGAATCATAATTACGATGATATGTAATTATAGTCACAAATATCAATAATTTTTCTCTCCGTGCAACTTTGGAACTAACTTCGTAAAAATGCGCAGCCTATTCTTATTACGTCTATGGGTAGACCTACGTAAGAAAATTTGCAGAAAATATGAGGAAGAGATTGCACGAAAGAATGAAACCACCGACGCTTCATTTAACAAAGCTCGTTTGGCTGAGCAAATTACTATAATTATTTATTGAATCAGTGATTACGAATTAGTTGATTCAATGGTTACGATTCAGTAAACGCAATTCGAATTATTATAAATATTACAATCGTTTCTCTCTCGTTATATTTGAGTCCAAGCGCTGCCTACGCTGCATCATGTTACACTTTTAGCAATATTTTAATTAGGTGCTACATATCGCGATATTAAGTTTCGTAATATTTGATATATATTCTAGCTGACTTATGTATTACTATAGAAAACAGTTATAATTTTAGAATAACGATTCGTAACAATTACCCTAACAACATTCCTAACAGCATCGTGTCGAGAAATCGCATGGTGTAAACGGCCCTTCAGTCTCTCCTTTCTGCGTGCTCATGAAATACTACTCGCGATTCGTTGTGCTCGAAATTGTTCCTCGCGTCGCGCGATTTATTTCCTCGTCCTGTTTCCCGTCGCGTGCGTCCCGAGGATCACACAATTGTATCACAATTCCTTTCCGTCCGTGTGCGTTTTCGTGCTCCGCTGGGCGCCGCAGATTTACTTACGTTCTCGCGAAATGATTGTCGGCAATGATCGATAATCACCTGAAACCGTCCTCGGGAAAAACGAATTCGCAATGATTTTCGGGTTTGATTTGATTTGCTTGATGGACTCTTCCCGCGCCGGTGGATCGCCGATTTCGTCGCGCGGTCGTCCGTGAGATTCTGGAGCGATCGACGATCCCGATCGGCACGCGATCGACTATCGTCGACGATCCATTTTGCGTATCTGCTTGATAAATACACTGTCGCTGCCTCACGTTTAAGCAGTTCATCAGTGGATGTGTATATGCGTGTATATGTGTTTCTGCATATGTGCGTGTTTGTGTATGCGTGCATGCGTGCTATGACACTGTTTAGCCAATGACATTTCACTCGTGTACCAAACAGCTATTGGATGTATTAAGTCCCACGCCACGTTTATGTTTACATATTTATATCTGACTATTTAATCGGAACACTTCGACGTTATTCATTATTTCTGTATCATTTTTGGCGTCGTTTAAACGATTACATATCACTCTGTCATTCCGTACAGCTTCGTTAAATGAGGCAGGGAGAGCGGGCTGGGAACGAGGATGTTTGTCACGACCTACGACGACTGTAATTTAACGTTACGCTTTGCTAAGATTATTTTACTAAATTCGCGAAATTTTATGTACGAATGTTATACTGCAATTAACTCTACATTAGCAACTATAAGAAGAAAAATGATATTTATTAGGAAAACAAAAATTAATTATTCATTTAAATATTACAAGACATTCCTGAATTAACATTAACCATTCACTTGCCCATTATGGCATTAAGGAGTCTTATAATATTTATTTATTTATTTTATCTCTATATATTATGAATTTTCTCTGAGATTAGTGCCATTAATCTTGAAGTGCAATGTAAGCCTTCTGCAGGTAGTAATTACTGTAATGATAAAATATGAATGAAATTTTTAAATAATATGAGATTAAAAAGTACTCAAGTATAATGTCGATGGAATAAACAACGTAGAAGAACTGCAATAATCCGATTGTTTGCATAAATAAAATATCGATCTATATAGTCCACATATAATATGCAATAAAACAAGCAGATCTGCGAATCGTTTCGGTAATTAGTCCCGCGCGATTAAAAGATACCGACTCGCCCGACGACGAGTTTACGTTAATGAGGCCTTCAGAGGATTTCCGGCACCCGGCTCAAGGATTAATTATTTAATTAGCTCGCTTGAGGTCACAAGTTTCCTTTTATACCTTCAGCGATAGCAACGATTCCGGATTATACTTACAAATATTACGCTCTTATATGCGATCTATGAATTGAAACTTATTACACTTCTTCCATTTACATCTTTTTTCTCAAGTAAAATACTTTCTTGATAAAAAAACAAATAGCACAAACAATAGCAAATATAAAATTGATTTTATATTAGAAATATAATTACTTCGTGAAAATTCTTGTTTCGCATATATGAAAATTATATTACGTGATTATAGAATCTTTAAGCCATCGAAGTCAGAAAATTTTATCTCTTCATCGACAAATCGTTATAGATACCCCCATAGCAAAACAAGTCACATGATGGTCATGGATAAACTGTGATATAACTGTGAGATTAAAAAAAGTTACAGTAACATCACATCTTATCTTGATCTGTATACGTCATAGCGGTGTCACAGTGAGGCGCAACTTTTATCACAGCTGCTAATGATTCATAGCAATATCACACCTGTGACAAAGGAGACATTTGCACGTCACCATGACTATGCTGTGACATTATACTTGTGACAAAGCGAACCTTCACATATCATTCTGACTTTGTTGTGATATTATTGTGATTTTTAGCAAAGAATGGAATGGAACACCCAGAAAATGGTTTCTTTCATTCAAAGAAATGTTTCTTTGCTATACGGTTAAAGAAAAAATTTCTTTGATTTGAACGTCATTTCTTTGATTTGAGCATAATTTTTTAAAATCAAATAAATAAGTTCAAATAAAAAAAATGACATTCAACTCAAAGAAATTTTTTCTTTAACCGTATAGCAAAGAAACATTTCTTTGAATCGAAGAAACTTTTCTCTGGGTGAAGTGATGACTGTTAGAAAAGCGCGAAAGACGATTTGGAAAGCTCGGCAACCTTAAGTCACAGTCGTCGAAAGGTTTGACAGCGCGAAGTCGAGCAACGAGACTATGCGATCCACCGAGATATAAATCGTCGTCGCAGTAGGCATGGCCCCCATAATATGTATACGTCGATCGCTCTCGCAGCGCTCGATCACGATCCACGACGGATTCACCGAGGTCCTCGAGGACTCGAGTACGCGTGACTCTGTACGGAAAGCAGGGGTGGTCCAACTTGGCAGTTTTCTTTTTTTTTATTTCTTTACCGCAATTTGCTCGCCTTCGTCACGTTCGTCTTTCTCTTTGTGTGTACGTGCTCGCTCGTCGATTACGCTGTATACTCGTGCGGCTCGTACGATCTGGACGAATGAGCGGCCGATCGATCGATCGACCCTCTTCCGCCGATCGGCTAAATAAGCGACGCGTCGACCGCTCTCTTGTGCGCTTGTATATTTCTCGTGTGCACACACATACACATACACACACACACACACACACACACACACACACACACACACACACACACACACACACACACACACACACACACACACACACACACACACACACACACACACATACACACATACGCATACATTCACGTACGTACACATACACACGCGCGCATACAAACACACAAACACACGTGCATACCGTGATAATACGCGGTGCGAAAATATCTGGCGGGTTTTGCGAAAATGCGGGGGTAGGGATCGTTTGTGGTTTCGCGTACGTCAGCTTTCGAGCACGTGATAATAGGAGGGTTTTATTGGAGAGGGAACGTGGAAAAATATATCGAGCGTATGGAGGGTCGATCGCGCGATCGTTGATGGCGCAAGTTTCGTTCGTGTTTTGTCAGGCTCGTCTTTCTAGAGAGATGCGTCGCAAAATCGCGTCCGTTACCCGCGGATAATGCACGAGGGAAGAAGGAAATATATTCGTCGAACGAAACAGACGAGTACCCTTATGACGGGCTCTTGCCATTGGTCGCTGTAACTGCGCGCGCGTTCACCCTGTCGATCGTCCAGGCCGCACTTTTACTTTCCTACCGTTTGAAAAGGTTGAACACCCCTGACTCGAGTTTGCTATTTGGCAGTTTATTTTTAAGTCCGTCTCGGCTCCCTACGAGAGACCCTCAACAGATCGCAGAGTTAATTAATTACGACTCGGTCGTAACGCGCGTGCGTGCGTGCGTGCGTGCATGCGCGCGCGCGCAAAGCGACTAACAGTAATTATCGTTAATTATTATTCTCATTATTATAAGAAATATCGTTATTGTTTCTATTATCGAAAGGCCGCAACAACGCTTTTCCGAGGACTGCGCGATCTCCTTTGTCTCGTGACGCCGTCGACTTGTCGCGCGTTCCTTCCTCGCGAAATCGCATCGGTCGTCGAATGAAATCGACCTCTGATCGCCAAACGACAGTTGCGACGATCGCCGGTCGATATCGCTCGATCGATAGGAGCTCGCGAAACGTAATTGGATTCGCTCGACAGCCCGTGCTCTCTGTTTCCCTTCCGCCTGCACCTACCTTCGTCTACGATCTAGAGGCATCCTCTAAATCTCCATCCAGCTCGCGTCGCGCGTCGACTATCTTACCGGTTCTGCACTAGAAATGTTAATTAAGTCACTTAAACGAAATAACGCAGTCGTAACGGAGCGTGACGTCGGCGATCGGATCCTTGTTCCCATTCCTTTCGTGTTCTTTCCTCTTGAATCCGGAAAAGTTTCCCAGGCGTGTTCTCCGCTAAAAAAAATTATAACGGCACTCGCCATCGAGCTGCCGCTGCCGGAAGTCCATCCTCCCCGTGGCTTTTTCTGTGAACGTCCTCAATGGTCTCACTCTTGCTTGCCACCTTTCGCGTCTAAGCGAAAGCACGTCGCGAAAAGGAACCGGCGGTGATTCTCAGCTGTGAGAAATCCGAGAACGCGAGATCGCGTTCCCTTGTTCCCTCGGGAGAGGTGAGTCGCGCAGAAGAGCGCGAAAGGGGCTAACGTGTCCATCTCTTTCTTTTCTCCGCGCTTTTCCCGTTTTCACTTCGACGTGCTCCTAGCGTAGCCGCCTCCTCGAATCATGCCGGACGTCGTTCCTGCGGAAAAGAGAGAAGACAGCATGAATATAACGCGATATGTTTGATTATTGACTTTTGAGAGATTGACATTATAGGTGAGGGATTTTCCGAGATGTTGTACCGAAGGATCGATTTTTGCAAGCTTACTTTGCCATTAAGCCCAACCAGGCTTTTAGTTCTAAAACTCGAGGTATGAACTTTCAACTTTTTGAGATCTTTCTAATATATTCCGATAACTTTAAAATCTTCAACTGTGGTAAACGCTGTGCAGTTAAGCTCGGAAAGATTAAGAAAAATATCGAAGAGTAATCAGGCCGGAAATTTTCTAGATCAGTAAAAAAAGAAAGCAAAAATACAAAAATTAATTTAACTTGTATATGTAATTTTTTCCATTTACTAGGAACATTTTTCTAGACATTTTTTTTTTATATAAAAACGTGTGCAAGAGAACCGATGAGCAAGAACTCATTAACATTCTAGCTTTTTCGGCGTTATAATTATATAATTAAAACAATGAATTTTCCTCTATGTAGATTGTTATCTCATGAATATTAAAACTCACGTAATTTAATAAATAGTTATATAAGTGAACAATGAGAATTCTTTTGTACACTAATCACATTTAGTTCGAAACTATTAGATCGCGCTATTCAAAGCCAATTTTCGATAATCAAGCAACGAGTGTCCGAGTACTTGAAATCATGTAATCAAATGATTGTATATCCAGGTTAATGCATAAATAATTGCGCTCCGAAGTGCGCTACGGAGGTACCGACTGGCAATTAGTGCGACGAAATTGCGAGTAGAGACATTCGCGTTGCCACGATTGAATATTTTCAGCGCGCGCGACGGCCAATGAGCCTAGCTTGTTACATGGGGCTTGTTAACATTTCCACGCAATATTAACTGTGTTATGGTCATCTGGCCCACGTCATTCGCACATAATGATTATAGCCTATCTGATCCGCGTGGTGTGAAATTAACATGCCGATTTCGGTCTCTCGAGCAAATACCTAGCGGTGATGCTCGATCAAGAAATTGTGATTTTCGAGCAATCTATCGGTATAATTTTGGTATAAAAAAAAACTATGTGCAAAAAGTGCAATCATAGAGGCAATTATTTATATGATAAAGTGTATAATATAAAGTTTATTCTTACCGAATATTCCAGGAGGCGCTATCCCTGGCATGTTTTGTATATTTTTTCGGTTCGACCGGGGCAGTCTATTACTGGACGATTATGTGTGGCGCGCGACACAGTATCACCACCGTAGCCATAACCGTGAATAATGTGAAGACGAACAGACAAAGCCTTAATTAAAAACAGGAGAGAAATTTGAATATTAGTTTCACAAGTCGAATGTTTCAATAATAGATTAAATAAATAGTGAAGAGGTAGAATACATAAGTAATTAGAAGTAATTATTAAATTAATTAATTATAAAAAATGTAACTAAGTTAAATTATTGAAAGAAAGTTATTTTAAGGCTCAAATTTTTGCAATATATGGTTATCTAAAGATTAAAGGTTTATTGATGAAATTCATTCATGAATTTCTTGGTAATCTTTAATCCTTAATATTGTGAAAAGTCCAACTGTAACTTCATTACAAGTAATGAGTCACTTTCCAACTCTATACCAATTATAAATTTCCTACAATTGAGATTACTGAGAAAATAAATTTTTTCGCTTGACCTCATGTGTTAAGTGAGATCCAAGTAAATGAAATTATTGAGCAGAAAAATTTTGAATAACTGAAATGATTAAAAGTTTGAAACAATCACGTAATGGATTCATCCGGTGAATCGGCGATCCAGCGCCTAAATGACAAGTTTTTCATCGTGAGAAGAATTAGGAACTGAATTTCGAACTCCGCTATAAAAGCTTCTTTGTTCGCGATTTTCCACCAGAGATTCGTCGGACGCCATGTGCGCACGACTGAACTGAAGTCACATGAAAGATTTAAAACATCCAACCTGTCGACCACCATGGCGGCGAACTTCCAATCGCTAATGACCTCCTCGTCCTCGTCCGACTTTTTCATGCGGTTTGTGATGAACTGCAATTCCTTGAGAATTGTGTGAAGTTCCCTCTGCATGCCGCTGAGAGGCAACGATGCCGAAGTCTCTTCAACCGTCGCCGGCCTGGTCGACAACGGTGTACCGTACGCCGACCTGCTGTAAAAGATCATGTAAATTATTACTCTCAAAGGTGTCACACGTTTTCTCTCAAAACCATTAAGGCGTCAACAGATATTTCGCATAGAGTCGGAGAGTTCATGAAATTCCGGCTCTTCAAAACGTCATATAATGGCTGTTGTAATTATTAAAATAATCCATTTCGGTACATAAGATAACGCAAAGTTTGCGCAAAGTTTAATACCATAAATGTTGAAGTTCTATGTTCGAAACAACTTGTAAATTGCTATGGTAATTTACAATTGAGATTCACATTGCTTATGAATATAGGAATTTTTTTTCTTTAACGAGATATTAATTGCGAACTGTATATAAAGTCTTCCGTAAATGCTGACACAACCCGGAAGGAGATGATTTTGCTTAAAAAAATAAATCGAAAACTTAAAAAAATAAAATTTTTCCATATGAGGCTTTGTTTTCGGGAAAATCGATCATAAATATTCGCTGGGTACGATTTAATGGATTTAACTGTAGACTATTATCTCTGTTCATATTTATTATATTGGTAATTGAGAATATACATTAAAACAACATGAATTTGATCATTTCATAAATTGTTGAATCCATTTCGAATTGCATTCTACGTTTTAGACTTACACATGTTTAATGGAATCATTCCCTTCCCTATACGATTGTATCCCTATTTACAGAATATTTTTATATGTATATATATATGTATATATAAACTTATTGTATATATCTTTTCGAAAACTTTTATTTTATATTGTTTTATGTAATCAATTAATTCAATGCTTACAGAAGAGTCTAGAATAATCAATTTTTTTCCTTGCGTGAGTTTTTGCAAGATTATTTTGTAATCAAAAGTTCAACGAACATTGCAATATTTTCTTAATTTTATCGGTATTTACTTCGAAATTTCTTTAACTATCATTCGCTGATCATTCGCTGATCCAATACTTTAAATTAATATATCTTTGCTTAAAGTTAACATAATTGAACAATTTTTTTTAATTGTGGAAGTTTAAATACGAGGAATAAGATTATTGTATATAACTTAAAATTATGTAAGATTGTGAAAAACATTTGTTATAAACAATTTTTCACAATGTAGTTAAAGAAAATGTCTATTGGATTTATGAATAAAGAACTTGAAAATACTAAAATTATCACGCTACATGTGCATTTGAATTGGACCACTATGTCACAGAACTCGGTTATCGGATAGTTCCCGTGACGACGTGACAGAGGAGCGAAGAAGAGATGGAGGAGAAAACGGATTGCTCAGAGAATCATCTGGCAAACCAAAGCGATTATTGAAGGGTCGAGAAAAAAAATGTCAGGATGAAATATTTTTGTTAACGGCTCACGGAAATCAGTCGGGGAAGAAAAAAGGCCACAAAAATCTCATGAGAAAACACGAAAATCCGAGTTTGGTAGATTGAGTTGGCGTTTATCAAGGTCCATGAAAACCTCGATATTCGATTCCAGCGACACAGTCGTTTAAAGCGACGGATTTCGGGCGGGTAGATCTCTTGTCTGCTTATAGTTATTGCAGAGCAAACGTGACGTATACCGTCCTCTAATCATTTTGTGTGCGCAGTACGTGTCTTCGATTTTTCCCGATAGAGCTGTAAAATAACGTTGAGTGCTGGTCGAACAAGCAAGGGGTAAGGTCCATTTAACGCTGCAAATGCTTCGATGCATTCTTTGATTGGTCAATTCGTAAAATTCTTTTGATTGGTTAACGAAGCATTTGCAGCGTTAGTGGATCGCACCCAAGGTATTTACTCGGAAACACGTGTCCGTGCATCTCGATGTGCTCTCGTTGCCGCCCATCTGATCATTCACAATATTATTATATGCGTCAACGCCCAGTTTTCTCTCCCTCTTTCTCTCTCTGTCTCCCTCTTTCTCTCATTGTTTTTTCGTCCAATGGGATTAAAACGTGACGTGGTTTCTGTTTCTCATGAACAATACATTTGTCCGTTAAACAACAACCGCTCCATTGTTAATAAAAAAAAGGAGCGCAGTTGATCGAGAAAATGGATGGCAAGCCATCGCGGAATTTTCGCTAAACGCAACGACCTGAAAAGATTGAATGGATAGAGAAACTCGTGGATACCTTATATAGCCCGAGGCAGGATTGGCGGCGCTGTTCCCATGGCGAAAATCATCGTCGATATCTAAAACGTTCGCCAGTAAACTCTTACTGCTCCTTTCCTGCAGCTCCAGCTCCTTCATCCGATTACTCATGAGAATGGTCTTCTTCGTGATCTTCTTGCCCGGCCGACTCATGCGCAACACACACGGCAGCCATTGTAGAAACACTATTTTCGTCTGCATGAATATCGAATTATTGACTCGTTAAACTTTGCAATTGCATCACATATCATACCGTCGCTCTAGCAAAAATTCCTCGCAACTTCATTCCCTTGAATCTCATAAGAGATTCTATATAATTCTCTACGAGAACGAAAAACCGAAATTGAAGAGTATATAGAATTTTGAAGTGGGACCCGCTCGTCATATGCAAAGTTTGAGCCACGAACACTTTACGATAAGCGTTACTCTAAGGGATAACGAATATACTCCCTATTTGGAAAATTTCTAAAATAAAAGTTACGAGAAATTCCAAAGTTATCCTTTTTCAGTTGTATTCTGTAGTTTTAGTTATATTTCACAGTTATATTCTGTTTAAAATAATTTATTTTGGTGTAACACAATGGTTGTTTCAATAATTATACGTAAAATGCATATTTTAACTCTTTATTTAATCCTTTATGTTGACTACCCCTTTTGAGGAGTTACCCCCTTTTACTTTGTAAACTATTTGCTTAATTTTTATCAAACTTGGTCCATAGCATAATTTGATAATACTTTATTCAATTCTATGATCAAAAATAAAAAACTTTTAATAGTAGATTCAATGGTGGCAGAATTTTAAAAAAATAATTTGATTATTATAAAACTCGATTTTAGGGATTTTAATTGCGAAATATATATATGTATAGGTATATAAAACATCAAGTTTCCAGTTTCGCTTTATTTGAAACCTATCAGTACTACGTAAATAATTAATATTGATTTTTAAACTCTGATTATGAATTCTGTGACACTAAAATCCTTCATGGAGGTTATTATTACTCTTTCGGAATTCGATGTTTTCGGGCTATTTTAATTCATTCAAATTTAGCAATACCAAGAACTTTTTAAAATTCAAGTTATGATAATCAGTTTTTTTTTAAATACGAATGAATTTTTTTGAAATTTAATTTTTTTTAAATTCTGAAGCCAGAATCTAATTTAACAAATCTCGAAAACTCTTAGAAAATAAAATCGTTTGAAAGCTTTGGACTTTAAAGAGTGCATGACAATATCAAAAAATACAAATTCATAAATAAAGTATTTACTCAATAATTTTAATTTTGACTTTTTATATCTAAATTCGAAGCTGAGTCGCATGTTATTTCTTTAGCGAAATAATAAATCAAACGCTATGCAATGCATATTATATATTGACATATGTATGTAAATATACACTATAGGAGTTTTGTAAATACAACGTACTTGTTTGAATTTAGAGTATCCAAACAATCCATATGTGTATATGTGTACTTGCATTTAACTGACTGGCACTGGTTGGGAATGAATATCAACACCTCGAAGGCATTTTAAACTTCCAAGAAATTTGTTTTCGGTAGTAGTAATAACCATATCGCGAAGCTTACCGTGCAATATATTATTATCCATTAAATATTCTTTGCGTGCAATAATTTAAAGTGTTTCGCATTATTTAGAGTTCATGAATTAACTGTATCTAATTTGCTTAAAAAAATAAATTTGTAATAATTTCGACTTGTTTCGAATAATGAAATTAAAAATATTAAGATATGATTTTATCATTTCATTATAATTATCTAAATATTTCGTTGAAAATAATAAATTTTTTAAATGAATCTGATATATATGCTTATACGACCACATTTTTTTGTTACACAATTATTATTGTTGCACAATTTCAAAATTGCTGTTTATTCAATTATAGAGTGTAATAGAAGGCAATTATAATAAATTTGTAACAATTTTAGTATGATGCCACTATAACAATGACGAAAGCAAGTGCAATCTTGTTTAATCCCTTTAGTTAAGCAGCTTATTTCTGTTATATATTTAAAATGATCAACCTTTATTCGAATGAAATATTTTACTATACGATCGATCAAAGCGTCTTTTCCGAGCAAATAAAAAAACTTCTACTATACATAAGTTTAATTAATTTTCTTTCTAGTTATTATATGATATATAATCCGTTCTACTACGCTAACTACCCAAACGATGAACACATTTCAACGAACAAAAAACGCACAAAATTATCAAGAGAAACGCAAATAACTATGCGACTATAATGATTATATTCATCAACATTTATTAGCGTTTATATATCTATTAATGTTTATTTAATTATTAGAATTATTTGCTCCATTCAAAATTACTTTGATGACAAATTACCATTGTTTATTTCAACATTGCGTCATTAATATTACACGCTACATTTATCGCATTTATATTTAATACCGTTATTCATCATTAATTAGACTTAAATGTCATCACTAATTAGAGTTAACTATATCTGTGATACAATCAGTTCAATTTTATAATATTTTCTTACCCAATTTGGCATCTCGTATCTGTCGGGTGATCTGTGATGATAGTTGAGCACCAGAACGGTCAGCACGACGCTGCTCGCCACCATGAACATGATGCAATTGAAGTATGATCCTGAATCGAGGTGTTCCCGAAAATCCCCCGAAGAAAGAATACAAAAAGAAGGCGATTAGTCACGGAAATAACGTGGAGCGAGACGCTGTTAGCAGCTCTCTCGTTGAGAATGAAAGATTATTCTTCTGGATTCTTTTAACTCAGTTCAGATCATAATCGCCTCCACTTGTGAACCTTCTTACTCGATATCTCCGGTTCCATTTTCGCTCGACATACATATTTAATAATCTTTCATTCGTTTATACGAGTGCTCGCGCGTTTCCGTTACGCGTGAAGAGACTCAAAAATTCAGACATCGTGAGAATGTCCGCGTCTGAATGTTTTAACGTTTTAAGCGCGCTTTCCAAAGAATAATGCCATTCTTTAAATGTAATTTTCATGGATTTCCTGATATTATATTTATCGAATAAGAGTGCACTTTTAATTCGTTTAAGCCTTGCATTTTGCGCAGTTACGCTTTCTTTTCTACTCTCTGTAATCTCATATCGGGTCCTTTAATTCTTTTTATTTTTGTCTCCTGTCGGAGCTTTCACTGGAATGCCTTCACCGATTTCTCTATACTGTAGCAAACAAGTACAGTAAGTAACATACACGGAACATTCTTCAGACGCGGCGAGAATTCGAGCCTCTTCACGCGAGTGCAAACACACACTCAACAGTGACACACTCGCAGTCACAACATACGACGGTTCAGTGCCATCCGAATGGACCTGTCACGGAATCGACTCTTGCGACTCACACTCGAGGCGAAAGTTGAGAAAGAAATAATAGACAAGCGAAACAAGCGTATTATTAATCGGTAATACAATAATTGGGACAGATAACATAGCTAAAGACAAAAGCACATATACATGAATAAGAATAGTATATACTACATCCAGTAACAAAAATCTACACGAAGATGTCTACGAGATATTCTTCAGATGTTCCCGTCTTACACTACGCATTGGAGATTGAGACTTACGAATTGAAGATTAGAATTCAGCCAATTAGAACGAAACAGATTAAAATTAAAATTATCTGACTCGCCGAATTTTAATCTTTAAAATTTTTAATCTTTAAAACTTCCCAATTTTCATTCTCCAATGCGTAGTGTGATATTTGCTTTACATGTTTTTCACATTTTTATGTAATTTGGACAGGCAATAGAAAAATCTACAGGATGTGTTGTAAAGATATCCGAAGGACGTTCTAATTTTTTTTTTTTAAACGTTCTATAGATATCTCTCAATTTTTTCTTGAACTTTCGTGAGATTTATGTTTAAGATTTCACTCATCTAACGGGGGGCTAACATCTTCAGAATTTCTACAGGATACATCAATACGCGTAACCCAGTTCACCTGCTGAAGTTACACTGAAGTCAGCAGTTCTCATTTCGCCAGAACAGTGAAGGTAACTTACGTAGTTTTCTGGTATTAGATAAGCGAAAATAAGAAAATTGAGAATAGAATGTACTTACTTGCGCGCGAAGTATAGACGTGTACGAAAAGGAAGAGGCAATGATGTGTTACGCAGAGAAATTGACGGAGAGAACACTTACACTATCATGCAACTATCGAAAATGCAATTTTACCGAAAACGCACACAAAAGCCTTCTGTAATTCTCTAAAATTTGTTATCGGCACGAATCTAATAATACTTAAACGTAGAAGTACACAGGATGCATATCGTGAGAACGTTTAAGCTGCGATTAAAACTACGCACTACAATCGGATTGGGATGTAGTTCATCTCTCGACTTTTATTTTCGACGCGGCAGTCTTGTTCCTTTCAGAAACTTAATACTGGAAGTCGGTGATTAATTACTTATTTTGAGTATTAGAAACGCTGTTGTGTTTAATGCTTTTAATACTCAAAATAAGTAATTTTCAGTATCTATTAACTTGCATTTCTGTAAAAGGGGTATCGTCACGATTAACACAGAATTCCCTAAGAAAGTTGTCTTGGAACGTCGAGAATCTACTGTCGTAGTTTACTTCGATCGCAAGTGGTATAGTATACATGCATCGGATAACGATTAATACATAGTTATTTTTATTTTTGTATTACTCTTATATTACTTATAGCGATTACCATTTTGAGAAGATTATCTTGTCCCTCTGACGAAAATAATCAGCCCTATCAACGCACGTTTATGCTGTGTAACGTTCAAATCGATCTTAAAAATCTCTTCAATGGTTAATGTCTCATTAAACGTACGAATCTTAAAATATGCCGGCGCCACGCTGTAAAACATTCTAATATCCCATTTTATCTCGGGTTACCTTTTTTTTTTACAAATAAATAGCTAAGCCTATTATAGAGCGGGGCAACGTATATCGCGAAACGTTTCTCGCAAATTAAAGATTTTCGAACGATAAGTTTTCATTTGCTTCGCCTTGGCTGCGCACGGACACAGTCAAATATTTATTCCTCTTCCTGCGACTGTAAAGATTCGCTCGTAACTCTAATTACGTACTCTCTAACTTTCCTCCTAAATTATTGGATCGCCATAGCCCGACGATGCATCTAGAAATACTGCGTCAAAGCAGAGACTTGCAAATGATTCCGAATCGAGGCGCGCGCGAAAATAAAAAGAAGGAACGGGAGAGCTTCAAGTGACGATGAATAAAATGCTAAAAGGGTTGCCTTTTTAACTTCTCGTGTTATCTCAGAGGCTATGTTTAACGGGTCCATAAAGCCCGGCACGAGCGTCTTCAGCCTGTGATTAATCGCCGTGTACGAAAGCGGCTATCTCTTCTCCTGCTTTTATTAATGGATCCTTAAGACTCGCCTGCCATTACGTGCCAGTTATATATTTATGACGTTTCGAATTACTTAATTCTTCCATTGATCGTTCGGTGGCGATCTATCATGAAAGCAAAATCGCTTGATTGATTCACAGGAACGGAAGCTGGTTGAGACGTAGGGTGTTACTAACCTTAAAGGCAAAGGTATAAAATATCTTTATCTAACAGTGATATGTTATCTTCATTAAAAAAGATAAATCATTTTCTAGAATTCAGCACGAAGAGATGCAAAATATTTTCTGCTTGATATTTTCTCGAACTAACTTCGTTAAATTTAATAATTAGGGAAATCTCTCTCTCTCTCTCTCACACACACATACATTGATGATTTTGCTTATGTATAATATTTTATATTGAGGAAACATTTTTTGTTTTCATAAACAAATTTATTTTTCATGGATATTAGATCAAACAACGCATTCTCCCGAATTAAACATGACGCGGCGAGGCGATTTTCGCATTAATATAGCATGAAGAGAGTAGCAAAATTACCGGTACACGCAACGTCTACACTGAAAAAAAATTTGTTCATTTTTGGTCCAATGAATGATCGTTAATCAATGTCTGATTTAATGTCCGACTTAATGTAGTTAATTCATTGATACAATAACTGGATTTATTTATACAACTATATATTCATTCTTGCAATGAATTCTAATAATAGTTTTATAATCTAAATCATTATGAGAATTCATTAGATCAATTTTCGTTATTTTTTCATAATTCAATGAATATTTTATTGTATTTACGTTTTGGTTCAGTGTAGCGATATTTACTTCAAATATTTGTTTCGTACACACGTGGGCAAATATGCATTAAGATAACGCACAAAAATTACGTGCAATACGAAGCGTGAAAAGCATTTCATTTCTAGCTTTATTAGCAGGCTTTATTAACAGAATCATCCGGTTGTTCGGTTCAGTTGTGGCAGGTCCGAAAAATCTTTGTAAAATACAATATATTCTGACTTCGGCTTCGTGTACGCTTTATTTTAGCCGTCATATGCCCCAATTTAATTATATCCGATGAAATAGCTGACGTCGTCAAATTTTCAACTGACAGATAGGTCGTAATTTAAATTATTCCAACGAATTAATTAGTTATTACATGCATTGCAACGCATGATCGATTAATGTGATGATTAATGCAAAATTTACGATCATTGTAATGAACGTCGATGTTCTTCCGTTCTACGAGATTATTTGGTGAGAAAATAAAAAATAATGATGCGTAATTAATGAATTAAAGAATTACGTTTTTGCATTATAATAAGTTATACGATAGGAAGATAAAAATCTTGCACGGATTTTATTTTATACGTCAATTTTTTGTAGTTATATAAACAATTATTCTTCAAGAATTATCGACTCAAATTACGAAATAATATATCATTAAAAAGAATTAATGAAACGCGATATAAAGCAGTTTTGAATTAGAAGTTTTGAATTTGAAAGATGTATTTTGTTTTAACATCAAGCTGACACGTCGCTTTTTAATTGCGGTTTATAATTGCGGGGCGTTAAGAGTTTTATAAGCGGAATAACTTTGCTATTGAAGAGATGTAAAAGTGGCAATTTAAATTCCTCTCATTTTTTTACGGCTTTTAATTTCCATGAATGTATATATAAAAAAACGCTACTTGACCGAGAGGTTTTTATGCCATTCACATAAGTATGATGTTATTCACATCATCATCGATACCGTACTTCTAAAGAGTTATCGTGAACCTGTTTTGTAAACAGTCTGCAATTTTTGAAACTTTATAATAGAATTATAAAGTTTTCAAATAGATCTTTCTTGAATAAAATAAAATTATTATTTAATTCTCGTTTTAATTTCAATATATTTGAAAACATTTTATGTTTCAATTTCTATTTAACTTAACACATAATATTATAAAATAATATAAAAGGAAAATTATTATATATACGTATATATAACATTTCATAATTTAATTTATTTTATAAGTATCAGATTAATATTGGTTTTATGTTAATATCGGATATTACGCTTTTGTGTGTGTACAAGATAATAAAGATTGTCGACTCGTTGAAGAATTAATTATTGCCCTCCATAGTGTCATACTTGTGCAAATGATCGATCGTGGATAATTTTCAATAAGGTGTGTTGTTCGTAGGATTTCCCGCATTCCGTTTTGTAGAGCTAGTACTTATTAAGTACTTCGCACTATTAAGTACTTCGAATGCAGTC